TAAAATGTTTTCAGAAATTATTATCAAACACACCGACAAGGAATAAAAAGAAAATTCATGTTTATGTAAGCTAAAATACATAAAATATATCCAATATTTAGTTGCCATCATATGAAGAAATAACTCAGAGATGTGTTGCTGTATAACCTACTTCAGAAAATTCACATTAACATGATGGAGCTCTTAAAATGTTTCCTGTCCCCTTCTTTAGTAATGACAATATTTGTACTCAAATAGACTGGATATTTTCAGAAGTTCATCTGCTCCTACTGTTTGTTCTCCACCTATTATTTATCTCACAGTTTACACTGCAAACATTGCTTACAGGGAATATTATTAGACTATTATTGAATTTCTGCCTTCAGAGAAAAGTATGCAATATTTTGAGTGCACTAAACCTGGATATTAATGTTTTATGTGGATTCAAATGCTTTAAATTAAAATTTGTAAGGACTAGGAACTTCATCATAACAGAAAAATCTTCATACCATATGCAGACTTGTCACTATATGAAATCTATTCTCTGGAAAAAAATATAATCATATGATAAACATGCTAAAATGAAAGCTTATATTTCCCACAATTTGCAGAGCTATGAGATCAGTGTGTTGACAATGGTTTTCTATTCTATTGTACATGTAAATCCCTGTTTACGGAATTTGGGAATTGCTATTTACTAGAGCAGAATGTAAATTCATCTAAGTAATTCTGCTTAGCTTTGATATATGAAGGCTTTACATATTACACATTTGTCAGAACGTTGCATATTATGCTTTTTGTGTATGTAATCAGTGGAGATTGAAGTTCATGGAGAGAAATGTTATTAGCGCTCTCTGTTGTATTGCCTTGTGCCAAAGCCAAATGCTACAGTGTGTTCTATTTCCAGAGAAAAAATACTAATCTAACAAAAATGTTGCTGTTCAAACAATATGTATCTAGAGCTATTGTAGAATATAGTAGAAATGCCTGCATTAATATTATTTGGCAAGAAAAATGACAGCTAGGGAATTGCATTCTGATCAAATGTTGTGCTAAGAAATAAAAAAAAATCAAAAAGAACAAAATACATTTCTGGCAAGTTGAATGGAAAAAAGTGCTGGTGGGTAGAAAGCATTTGAATTAGTAGAGAATAGAATAGGTAAGTCTCTAGCTTCATGTGGAGTATTTTCAAGGACAAGAGAACAATGAGCTATGTTTGCAATCCTGTAAAACTGTTAATAGAGGGAAAAGGCAAAAGGCTTATTTTAATTCATTTAGTAGGAAAACAGATCAGTTGTGTTTAAATGCATAGAATTTATATAAAGGGTCTTGTTTTCTCTCTCTCCGTGTGTGTGTGTGTGTGTGTGTGTGTGTGTGTGTGTATGTGTGTGTGTGTGTGTGTATACTGTGACTCTGTCTTCTTCCTTCTCTGTCTCTTTCCTTCTGTACATAAACACACACACACACACACACACACAAACACACACACACCCCACACTCACACATAGTTCCTATGCTTCCCTTTGATAAAAACCTGGGTCTAATTTTGTAATAAACTTGTGACTTTTTCACTTGGACACATTCATGAGTAACTAGATATTTTAAATTAAGATTATAAACTAAATTGAAGCAAATAAAATATAGAATAACATATAAATACATCATGAAAACTAACTATAATATTTGTCTGTGAATAGTTTACTTCAATGTTTGCCTATGTTGAAAGAGAGAAGGCAGAATATAAAGATTTTTCACAGGTCATGGATTAGGTTTGTAGAATACTGATGAAGCAAATTATATAAACATTCAGGGTCCTACCTTTCATAGTGAATTATAGACACTGATAACTGTAGAAAGAGGGAGGATTAGCTTCTTTCAGGGTTAAGCTCCCTTGTTGGCTATCCAATACAAAGGGGTCAGCATTGAAACTGTAGGCACAAAACTGAGTGTGTATATATATATATATATATATATTTGTGTGTGTGTGTATATATATATATATATATATATATATATATATATATATATTCAAAGAAAAAGGGTCTATTAACTTGGGAGTTGCAAGGTACATGGAAGGAGTTGAGGGAGTGCCTTGAAAAGGATTGAAAGAAGAAAAGAGAAAGGAGAAAATTATATATATATATATATATATATATATATAAAAGAAAATATTCTGTCAAAATTATAAATATGAAACAGTAATTAAAATAATGGTAGTAAAATTTAAAATGAAAGATAAAATATATCATAGGTAAATACTTTCCTCAATTATATGAATTACCTCTCTTGTATTCAGTGGGCAAGGTGGGTTTATATGTTTCAAAGAACATAATATTCCCTAACAATGCCTAAATAAGATGAACAAGGTGAAAAAGAAAACAATTTTGACAATTCTGAATTGCTTCTATATTTACCAGCTTTATAGGGTTCTGTATATTAATGTATACTTGATATAAATATCAGGTTTGAATAATCAATTAATAAAGTTTACTTGCATAAAATGATCAGCAATGGTACTAGAATGGATTAGAGATGTTTTAAACTTATATTACAAGTTCATTAAAATAATTAAATTTAAAAATATAAAATACAAAATCTGGTAGAGGTGGGTACCATACCCATTATCTTTTCTCTAGGTGTTTACTCTTGAAAACTTTCATAAGAAACAATGTTAAAAATAGATACATAGCATACATATAGCAAAGGCTTTTTTGAAGTTCTGTAATATTCCCTACTTATATAACTCACTTCAAAACAAATCTTAACTCCTTCAGGAATGGCCATATGATCATATCTCATAGAAAATTTTATTTCTGTGGAGCAATATATGTTGCCAAATAATATAAAATTATGCTCTTAGAGAATAGCATAGAAGTTACAGTGACAGCTGAGTGGCCAGCCATTCGTTTTCTAATCCTTTTTGAGATTGCAGTAGACATTTATTTTTCAGAGAACAAAAATTAAGTGAATTTTGTGTGTTGCCAGCCAGGTAATAATCAACAGTGGAAGTGATCCATGAGGACTGTTTCAGGATGTAGACTGTGACTGCAATTAGGTTGAAATGGCTTCATATCAGGCCAAGTGTGAAGATGCCAGATAAGTGTTTACCTTCTCTCACTTTTCAAGTTTGACACCTTAAAATCTGAAGAGAGTAGGAGGAGAGAAATATAAAATGGAATAGTTACTTACTGAACAAGTCTTTGAAACTCTGTAGTATGAGGAATAATGTAACCTCTTATTTTCTTCTCTTAAATAGCTATCTTTTGTCTTTTCAGTGTAGCTAATTTTTCAAGATGCATTGACTAGAAATAGTGATAGTGAGTATCCCATATCTTTCCTGACTTGAGGGAATAAGTTTCCAATTTCCCACTTACATGACAACATTCCTACTGTACATTATTTTGTAAAATATATGTTATTACTGTACATTATTCTGTAAAAATGGATTGTTTATTCCCTAAGTATTAGAGTAGCTTCTATAAATCTATGGATGTAGAGTGCTAATTTTACTTGCATATTAACTGGTGGGACAAATGATAAATTTCATGTTAAATTCCCCAAGATCAAGATGACTGTGTGCATCCTCACCTGTTGTATAATATAATCTAAAATTAATTCTTAAATACCATGGTGATAGTGATTGAGTTTCCATGATGATTTTTTATTTGGAAAACCTATCTAAAATAAAACAAATTAAATCATTCGTAAGCATTTAATAATCTTCTGTCTCATTTTTAATGCCCTTTAGGTTTTGAAAATAAAAATTGTAACAAATACTTGATTCCTTTATATTTTGTTTGCTTTTTGCTTCATTTTCTTTGGTTTTGACAGATGTCATTCTGTAAATATGTTTCTCATACTGGTTAATGAACAAAGGAAAGCCAATAGGAAAGCAAGATAGGTGGGATTAGGAGACAAGGAAGATTCCAGGAAGTAGTAAGGGGGAGTCAAGATGGAGAGAGAAGAACTCTGGCCTCTCTCTGCAGTAAGATAAGACCACGTGGAAGTACTTAGATTAATAGACATGGGTTAATACTTAAGACAGAGAAACAAGTAACTGGCCAACAGAATTATATCTAATACAGAGTCTCTCTGCGTTAATTGGGGCTGGTGCTTCAATGGTTCCAGGCTGGCAGGAAAAACCTTACTCATAACATATGACACTGCTACATGGACCAAAGAACTTCCACGTAAAACTTAAGAAAAGCTTAAAAAGGACTTTAGAAACAAAGAACAGAGAAAAGCAAGGCTTCTTAGTAGCAGCATTTTTCTCAGTTGGATTCTGTTTTGCTAGAGACAAGCAAGGCTTCTTTAAGGGAGGTTTCCTGACTCAGCATAAGCAGCAAAAATCCACATAGCTTTTAAAGAGCTCTGCTAACAATTCAATGGTGTGTATGAGAGCTGGCAATGGCAGTGACCACCACTCCAAGCAAGCAACATGCTGGATGGCAGCATAGACCAAGGCAGTGAGCACAGCTTTCAGTTCTGGAGGTAAAGTTGCCCGCCACCATCTTGGTAGACCTTGGCTGAAACAACTATAGATTTAATTTTAGCAATGTTCTTGTTTACCAGATAAAAGACTTGTAGCCAGAAAAAGATAATGATTTACAGTAAAGACAGAATCAGGTTAAGAAAAACTGCTAAAAGTTTACAGTGTGTTTAAAAATATACCTAGGCAATGCGCAGCAGTTCCTGTCTCCCAATCCTGCCCGCCTTTTCCCGCCCTTCTCTGGCCTTAGGAGGAAAGTCAGAGTTCACGCTCCTCTGGGGTTCACCTGCGATGCCGGGGGAATACGAGGACCAGTAGGTTGCAGACCAGTAGGTTGATCCTGAAGCTGGTGTCAAAGAACATACTCTAGGACTATTAGCTAGGCCGAGGGCCAGGAGGCGGGAAAGGGCTGTGTGGGTGGAGGGTCAGAGGTCAGAGGTCAGAGGGCTGAGGAGGGGGAGGAGCTAGCCGGAGGCGGATGGTGGCTCTTCATCTCCGGCTGCACAGCCGCTGAAGCTGGGACAAGGGCGTGTCCGGTGGAAGAAGCACAGCGGCGGCCGCTCCCAACATGCACAGCCTGGCGACGACAGCGCCTGTGCCTACTGCACTGGCCCAAGTGGACAGAGAGAAGATCTATCAGTGGATCAATGAACTGTCCAGTCCTGAGACGAGGGAAAATGCTTTGCTGGAGGTAAGCAAGAAGCGAGAATCTGTCCCTGACCTTGCACCCATGCTGTGGCATTCATTTGGTACTATTGCAGCACTTTTACAGGAAATTGTAAATATTTATCCATCTATCAACCCTCCAACTTTGACAGCACATCAGTCTAACAGAGTTTGCAATGCTTTAGCATTGCTGCAATGTGTGGCCTCACACCCAGAGACCAGGTCTACTTTTCTTGCAGCACACATCCCACTTTTTCTGTACCCCTTTTTGCACACAGTCAGCAAAACTCGTCCCTTTGAATATCTTCGGCTCACCAGCCTTGGAGTTATTGGGGCCTTGGTAAAAACAGACGAACAAGAAGTAATCAACTTTTTATTGACAACAGAAATAATCCCTTTGTGTTTGCGCATTATGGAATCTGGAAGTGAACTTTCTAAAACGGTTGCCACATTCATCCTCCAGAAGATCCTCTTAGATGACACTGGTTTGGCTTATATATGTCAGACATATGAGCGTTTTTCCCATGTTGCCATGATCTTGGGTAAAATGGTCCTGCAGCTATCCAAAGAACCATCTGCCCGTCTTCTGAAGCACGTAGTAAGATGTTACCTTCGACTCTCAGATAATCCCAGGGCACGTGAAGCACTCAGGCAGTGCCTCCCTGACCAGCTGAAGGACACAACCTTTGCCCAGGTGCTAAAAGATGACACCACCACGAAACGCTGGCTTGCACAACTGGTGAAGAACCTGCAAGAGGGCCATGTCACCGATCCCCGGGGAATTCCCCTGCCCCCTCAGTGATCCTTCCTATTTCCTCCTACTACTCTCATAAGTGTGGGAGTGGGAGTGGGACCTCTGAGGAAAACAGCTCAGGTTTTATTGCCGACCGGGAATAGACAACCTCAATGCTGAACCGCACTGGAGAAAAGGGGCGAGGTACCCCGCTGAGGTGTGTGGGCTGACTGGAGGTCCTGGATCCCCCTGCTGCTCCCAGGAATTGGGCTCCTGACACAGCAGTCTGCCGCCACAGCCCCAGGAGGGAGTCAACACCAGCAAATGCTGTATTTGCAGCATGCCCAAGATGACCCTGTTCCTGAACCTCTACCTAGTCACTGGTAGAAAGGAGACATGGTAATAGCAGCAACGCTCTAGCTCTAGGCATGGTGAGGGCCTGGGACCAAGCCATGTGGCTTTTTTTTTTTTTTTTTAACTTTGCCTTCCTGGAAGACTCGAGATGTGTGTCTCTCTTCCCTCTCTCTCACTCTCAGTATTTGTTTACTTTGGGTTTTTGTTTTTAATCTCAAGAGAGAGGTGTGTTTAATGGACACAAGCTGTAGTTTTCAGCAAAACTTTGTCAATTGGCACTGTTTTCAAGTCTGTTAGCTGCATAAGCTCAATAAAAAGTTGGTCTGGGCATTGCATCCCCTCTGGCAGACAGATAGCTGCATTAGGCTGTTGGATGGAATGGGAGGCAGGGGAAGAGGAACACCAAAGGACAAGCAGGAACTCTCCACCTATTCCCCTCTGCTCCCTTCTTTCATTTCCAGCCTGGTTGCCATGAGGACCTTAATCTTGGTTCTGGCTTTAGCTACTAGCTTTTACAAATTTCAGCGCTTTCCCCTTCTTTTAAGCACTTAAACTTAAAGCAGATGTCTTAATTTACCCAATTCCTGAAAGAGTATGGGGCAGGAGGGATGGCAGTCTTCAGATCAAAGATGATTTCTGGGTGTGTCTTCTCAAGGGAAGCAAGCATGTGGATCCAGGTTTAGGCTCTGTGATCCCATTCTCCTAGTGTGAGTTTCAATAGTGCCATCTCTCCTCATGATTATACTTGAAACAGTATTAGCTAAATGAGTTTTTTCTGATTTAAGATGAATAGCTAGATTTTGCTGGCTCAGTCTCCTCTCCCTTTTAAGATATTTTCTTTGGTCTATGGAAAATACAGGGTTGCCACTAAAATATTGTTTACTTACTGATAATATATCAGAGTTCCCCTTCCATCTCCATGGGCTTGAATGTATAACCTATTATAAACTGCCTTTCTTTCTGTGACCATTCTCATTATCAGCACTTGCTCTTCCTCTCTGAACCTCATCCGCAAAGATAGAACTATTGATCCAACTCTAAAGAGAGACCAAGTCTTTAGCCCATGTCTTACACATCTGAAGATGTCAGTAACAAGTTTGAGGAAGTTGTATAAAGGAATGGATACTCATTGAAAAACCTTTGTAGAGGCAGTTGAGCCAACCTAAGGGCTCTTTAAGCCGACTTTCACAAAGGGAGCCGGCCTTGATAGTTGGCTTCTGTCTCTAGAGCCAAGAAAGTAGTAATTAGGTAGCCTAGATTTAGGAAGGATAGAATAAGCACTTATTTCCTTGCCTTCCCATTTGAAAAGGAGAACCCGGCCTCAGGCCTAAAGAGGAAAGGTCTTAGAGAAAACAGAAAACAGCATCAACTTGATAGATATTTTGACTCACTCCAGTTTGTGATCTGAAAAGTTTAACTAGGGTACCCTGATATTTGAAATTCGCCTTCCTACCGAGCCAAAGTTTCTCATTCTTCTCCACATGGGGAGCAGCTGAGGTGTGGGGCCTTGCTCCCTGGGACACTCTCTCCATCTTTTGGTGCATTGGCCATGTTACTGTGCCAATCCTGTCTTAATTTGAGTCCAATTTATCCTCAGCTGGCCTTGGAACATGCATAGGAGTTGGACGGGGAGGGGTGCAATGGGTCTCATACCCTGTGGTTGGTCCTGATGTTGTATGTATTATATAGAGACCCATCCCCTTATTATGTGTTTTCCATCCCTCTCAACAGGATTAAAATAAAACATACTCTGTTTTTTTTTTTTAAATATACCTAGGCTTGGGAGAGAAAAGAATAAAATGGTTTCAGAGAAGTGCCAAAAAAAGGGGTCAAGACAATGGTGGGAAAACTCCCAGAAACAGCTGACTTGATCGAGTGGGATCTTATGGACCTCAGTCTGACAGAACCAAACCAGGTCCCCTGAATGTGGTGTCAACTAGAAGGACTAGGCTATCTATGGGGCCTCTGGCAGTAGAACCAGTATATATAACTAGTCACAAACATACTTGTGGAGCCCATTCCCTTAGCCTAGAGACACAGGGGAGGGCCCGTCACCTACACCAATAGCTTGACAGATTCTCATGATCCCTCATGGAAGGCCTCACCTTCCCTGGGGAATGGTTGGAGGATAGGATGGGGGTGGGGTCCTGTGGGCATGAGAGGATCAGAGGAAGAGGGAACTGGGATTATATGTAAAATAAGATTGTTTCTAATTTCAATAAAAAATAAGTAAAAAAAATGACTTCAAATTTGGGAATTTAATATCAAGGCTCTTTGACAATTTTTATTTTTTTCATTGTCTATCAATCTGATATAGCCCAAATATCAACAGAAAAAACATACTCATCTGTTCAGGCTGAAGTTAAACTAAGCAAAATACAAAAATGGTCACAAAGTCTTATAATAATAGACAATGTCTCGATTGTTCATTACATTATTCAGTTCTAAAATCCATGTTCTTTTCACAATAGGTAAATTATGCTTGGTGAAAAAATAAAATTAAAAAAAAAAAACTGTAAGTAACAGTTGATCATCCTTTGGTTTTCCTTGTCATTTAATTGCTATTATACATTACTAAAATTTCCATTATATGATCAAATGTTAATTCTGAACCAGATGTAACACTGGGCTATATAATTAAATGGTGTGTATGAACAGAATAGTCATTCCCACAAATACAGGGGGAAAAATCTCATGAAAAACAGGTAAGGAAAACCTACCTATGCTAAAATTTCAGTGGGAATTTTATTTATTGAAGGTCTCTAATTCTCATTATTTCCCTTTGGTAACATGGAATGAATAATAACTATCAAAAGTTGTAAGAAAGGCAAGGGACATTCATTGGACTTTGAAATTATCGTAAGAAAAAAGATGTTGAAAGACAAAAAAAAGTAAAGTTAAGGAAACCCCCACTTAAGATAAAGAACAGTCTGACCTGGAATTTGCTAACTTCCACTCACAAGGCCCTGAGATGATAAGATACCAAAAATTCACACTGCTCCTCCTTTCTGTGAGTCAGCAGGTAGTAAATAGTGTCCTTAAAAAACAGAGATAGCTGTACCTCCAATTTGCCCAGACAAGATAAATTAGCACACCCCTAGGCCCTAAGGTCTGTTGACCCTAACAGCAAGACCATCCAGCCTCAAAGGGTCATATACTCAATGGACAGAAGGTCACAACCCCTTTCTAAGCTTGTGGGTTTTGCCTTTAAAAACACCTGTGCCCTGGGGATGGGGCTTCTCTCTAGCCTGCATACTGAGGGAGCCCGTTTGCACAAACATTTCCTGTTTATTAAAGCCTCTTGCATGTTGCAGCAACTGGACTGGACTGCAGTAACTGGGAGACTCTTCATTCTGAGGGTCTTACAATGTCTAGTATTTTATAAATTTCGTGGTTAAATCTGTGTCTTTTTGCACAGTCTTTTATCTCAGAAATTAATATCCCATTAAAAATATTATTCTATGACAACATAAATTCATGCTTATTCATGTAGATATTTAACTAAAATTCTCATGAAATAGAGCATTCAAAACTGAAAATACTGGTATGTCTTAGGTTATACTTGCTGTTATAAAACAGCATGAACAAATTATCCAAGGAGCATTAGGTTTTATTCCAGCTTACAGAAAGCAGTCCATTGAAGTAAAAGCAGGAACTCAAGGCTGGACATGGAGGCAGGACTTGAAGCCCAATCAAAAGAGGCTATTCCTCATTTTCTTTCTCTTCCTGGCTTATACACTCAACAACACCCTGCCCAAGGAAGCACTGCCCCAAGTGCCTAAGTCCTTCTACCTCAGTCATTAATCAAGAGAATGCTTCCACAGACTTGCCTACATTTTACTCTTATAAAGGTATTTTTTTTCAAATAAGATCCTTTCTCCTCAAATATGTATAAATTTAAGTCACCTGATTAAAAAAAAAAAAGCAAAATTGTCCCTTATGTCCCTTGTGAACTTGAAACACCAGTACAACACTATCAATCATGTTTCCTTTCTTGTTTATCTATAAGACCTCATACTAAGGTCAATATCACAGTAAATAGTCCAAAATTTAAAAAGTACTAGTCTTTTTGAAATTCAGTATTTTTGAAATTATCTATGTACCATTAAAAGTTCAGTTTCTCAAAAACATCCAAAATCTCAGAACTATAATATCCTATAAAATTAAAAGAACAGAAAAAGCAAGTTTAATATGTTCCTATTGCAAGAAGAAATACTAGCTCACACCCAATCAAATCAAAGCATAACCAAATCACAATGAATAACTCTTTGTCAGATAGACTTTCAGTGTCTTAAACACTCCTACTTCTCTGTATCTACTCCCTGCAATAAACAAAGCTTGTTTGCAAGGTTCAGTTTGGATGAACTCTGTACATACTGCTTTCCTGGTAGATTGCCTCTTTGTATTGACATTTTAAAATTCCTGTGTTCACTTTTGCAACTTGTCAGCAACTTCACCTGAAGCCTCTCCTGAACGCTTTTGCTCTGGAATGCTGAACCTCTTAAATTTTTCCTAGTTTCAGGCCCAGATGAACAGTATGCAATAGCAATTGTCCCTGCAAAGTATAGTTTTTACTTAAGTGCTACTAGTGTCTTGTTAGCCACAGGATAATATTCTGCTCCAAGTGATCAGAAACACAAATTCTTAATTCAAAATATAATATAAGACACAATTATATCACCTTTGCTTTCCTCTGAAACTTCACAAGTTAGGCAGGTTTATATCTTCACTGTTCTCAACATTGTTACATTTCAAGTTCCCGTAAATTGGCTTCAGAACTCTGAGCGCTCAACTGGTTATTCAGCCCAAATTCAAATGCCACTTAAAACCTCCCCAAAACACATAGGTCTATAAAAGCAATATCCATTCTTGATAACAGTATTTATTTTAGTCTGGTTTCTCTAGAGGAACATTGCCAATGGGTAATTATATATTTACATATTTGTGTGTGTTCAGATACATGTATGTGCCTGTGTTCATGTGTGTGTATGTGTGTAAGTTCATTGTGTCGAGTTAATATATAAACAATAGCTAAATGACATCTGAGAAGCTGAGATACTAGCAGTTA